GTGACCAGCTCCCATACCATTCCGGGGCTCTGGGTCTCTGACGATCTCTATGGTGACAGGATCTCACATATGTGGTCACCGCCCATGGCTGGGAGTCAAGCGTGGACTGTGATGCCGCCATGGGGTGAGGACCGTTATACCTTTGTACCTGGCTGCCTCTGACCTTTGCTTTTTCCCTTTGCTGATTCTGATTTGTATCTTTTCACTGCGATGAGTCGTAACTGTGAGGCTGGCAGTCTGGTGGGTCCACCTTGTGATTCACTGAATCTCGGGTGGTCTCAGGACCCTTCCCACAGCACAGACATGGTGAGGCCATCTTTGCAAGCTGTGTTTCCCTGACTCCTCTGTTAACTGATTTTAGTCGGCTTTAGCAAACAGGAGACAATGCGGGGAGTGAGGATGAGGAAAAAAGAGACAAGCTAGAGTGGCCCTGCCCTCCCAGTGGGCCTCAGACAGTGTTTCTGGTGAGGGGTGCCGCTCAGGGAGATCCAATTTCTGCCACGTAAGCCCAGCCCAGGCACCGTGATGACCCCAGCCCCCCCTTGCTCTTACTGGCTCACCTTGCCTTGTTTAGCACCTTTTCTCTTCCTTCACCTGCGTAACCAGTCTTTTGTGTTAAATTCCCTCTTTAAAAACACCTCAAGCCACTTTTGTTTTCCTGGCTGAATCCCGCCTGCTAAATTCCTTGAATACATACACTGGGCCACTTTCAACCCAGGCAAGGGACATTCAGAAGCAAGACACTATGGAAGGAGGGTGTGCTCCATTGCGTCCGACTCTTTGGGACCCCATGGACTGTAGCCCACCAGGCTCCTCTGTCCGTGGGATTTTCCAGGCAAGAAGATGGGAGTGGGGTTCTATTTCCTTCTTCAGGCGATTCTCCTGACCCAGGGATTGAACCCATGTCTCTTATCTCCGACACTGGCAGGTGGGTTCTTTACCACCAAGGCCACTGGGAAGCCCAGACACTCTAGAGCTGAATCTCTGCATCCCGTTGCTCCTGCAGAAGTCACATTTTCTGACCCAGCAGGGGTTCGCCCTGCAGTCAGAACACCTTGGGCTGATTTCTAAGCGCCGGGACCATGGGGAAAGGTCTGTAACACGGGTTGGTGCCCTCCGACACTCTCCTGTTGACACTACTTGTTGGGCACAGGGAAAGCCACCGCACTTTAATGCGTCTGGGCCGGTGGTCTGGTCGCGTCAGAATGTTAAGCAGCACGCATGCATGTTCACACAATACTCAGTGAGTCTCGGGCCGAAAGCGCCCCTGTGACGGTGGTCGTCAGGGTGCTGGGCTTGCCTCAGATGCACAGCACAGCCAGGAGTCCCAGGGGGGCCTGGCAACTGTGGAACCTAGCCTGGAGGGTAGGAGGCTGACCACTCTTCCATAGACCCCACGTGAGCAAGGGTATCCAGGAACCGGGACATTCCTGGTCCAGGGATTTTATCTCATCTCAGACATGAGTGTGAGCTATCACTGGGACATGCCAAGTGCAGACGGCTGGTGGGCACTTAGAGGGCAGTCTGAAGACCATGACTGAAGACCTGGAAGTGGTAGGAGTCGGGATGGAAACGGGGAGCACGGGGGTTGCTGAAACGACCAAAGGAGACTGGGTGGCTCAGAGCAAAGTCCCGACAGTGCCCCTCGCAGGGGCCAGGGGCAAAGGCCCTCCAGGCAAGAGCGGGCAACAGAGCTCAATGTCTCCCAAGGTTCAATAAATGGGAATTAAATCCTGCCCTTTGGGTTTAGCACAGGCCCCTGGTGACCTTGAACTACAGTTTCAGTGGAATGAGGCGGGCAGAAGCTTGTAGTGAAGAGGGGAAGAGAAGGGGCAATGGCAGAGGGGTGTGGGTTGAGGAAGGGATTTAAAAACCCTGGAGAGACTTGAAGTTGAGGACCATGCCCATGGGAAGCAGCTGCTCGAGGCATGGAGCACAAGGTCCAGGAGAAAGAGCGGAGAAGCCCTACAGCAGGGGCCTGAGACGGTGAAGGGGACCCAGGCAGAGCGGGCGTGGGGGGACACAGCGGGCGTGGGGGGACACGGCGCACTTGGCCATGGGCAAGGGGTGGGCGGGGCAGTAACAGGGAGAGACAGAAAGGACTGCTTCTGCACGCGAGCTCACAGACTCGGTAGCGAAAACTTGACGCGTTCTCACGATGGCATCTTTTCACTTTTCTATTAAATTAGACCAAGCAGCAGGGTCAGAAAATGGAAGACAGTAAAGGCGATTAGAAAGAGCCATGACTGAAAACAAGAGTGTTTCAAGATATGAAGACGCAGAGAAAAAATATATGGAAAATTTTAGAGGAAAATTGTTCTTTTTTCTCCCATCATTTGAAAAGAAACCAAAATAGTTTTCAGGGAAAAAAAGAAAACACAAAACAAACCAACAAGTGTTATTTTCTCATTTTTGCGGCACTCTTCAAGGTATTTTCTCATCTGCCTCTGGCTGGCAGCCCCCTCCCCACCCCCCTGCCCCGCAGAAAAGCTTGTGGTTCGGGGGTGGGCGGGGGGCTCCAATGTTTGTTCCATCTGTTTTACACATGCTGCGTGGTCACTGCTGTCTGTGACCAGACCCCTCCTCCTGGCCAGCCACACCAGCCAACCTTGGAATTCTGGAGGGCAAAACCGCCCCCTTGAGTGGGAGACCTTTCCCCCCAGCCCTCTGACCTAAGGGCCGGGGTGGGGTCTGCCCAGCCCTGAGGGCCCTCCGCTCCCAGTGGCTGGGGAGGGGGCGGCAGATTGGAGGTGGGGGAGGTGAGAAGCAGGACTGGGGAGAAGGGGCGCTGGGGAGGCAATGCCAGAGCAGCGGCAGGACGGCGGGGTAAACAGAGAGTCTCAGACCGCCGCTGGCTCCAGCTGTCAGGCAGTGGGAGGGGAAATAGCTGTGGGACGGGAGGGGGGCGCTCTTAGGAAGTTATTTAAGAACCAACTTTCTTGTCGTCGGTCCTGTGTCCTTTTGAGGAAGTACCCCAGAGACACCCAGAGCCGGCCCGCGCTGGGGCGCCTCGGGAGGGAGCGCAGGTAAGCCGCCTGCAGGCATTCCGCAGCCCTGCAGCCGGGGTCCGGGACCGCCGCTGCCCCGGTCGGCCCCCGCCCCGGGTCTCTGGGATGATGCTCTCGTGGCGCTAGGAGAGCAGGGGGCCGGGACGGGGGCAGCCCGGCTGCTCCACTTGGTTCTCTGCCCCTAACTCTGCATCCACTCAACCCTGCCGGCTTCTGAGCTGGGGCTTCTCTCAGGTACCAGTCCTGGGAAGCTTTCCTAAAGGCGCCGCTGGCAGAAAACGGCCACTGGGGTCTCCCCCTCAACAGACAGGGGGGCAGACTCTGGAAAGAGGATGCAAAGGGCGGGGAGGCGAGGGGACCAGGAGGGTGGAACAGGGCCAGGTAAGAACAGCAACCTGCTGCAACTGGGGTCCATGGCTTAGCTCTCCGTCTCTGGAACCCCCTCCCGGGCCGCAGGCAGAGCCGAACTTGAGCACCACCCATGCCCCCGGGACCTGGCAAGGAGGCGGGGTCCGTGCCCACCTGCTCTCACCCAGCCGGGCCTGCCCCGGCCTCTCACCTGGCAGGCACCTGGGGGTCCCCAGCCTCCGGCCCTCTGTCTCAGGAGCTACTGTTCAGCACCCCTCTCCTGGAGCCCCTGGCCCCCGGCCCCTTGCAGCCCCCTCAGCCACTCCCCACCAGAGGACGCCTCATCGTGCCTGCGTCTATTAATTCTTCTTCTCTCCCCTCTCCCCCACCGCGTAACCCACACAGCACTGTAAATAGGACTGCAGGTATTTACGAGGCCCCCGCTCAGACTTGGCACTTCCAAACACTGCTGTCTCCTTCCAAACCCCAACGCCCTGGGAAGGGGCTCGGCGCCTCCAGCGGCGCGGCCTTTGCTCAGACGGCCCCTGGACAGCTTGACCCCCGACCCTGGTCCACCCCTCCCCTCCCACCGTCTCGCACGCTTCCCTGGAGCCTCCGTAAGGCTGCTCTTCATCTTCAGAGGGTGTGCCTGACTTTTGGGAACAGCCAGAGAACCCGGAGTCCTGACCGGGGAACCCAGGTGATGAAGGAGAAGCCAGAGACAAGGTGTCCCTTCACTTGGCCCCTCGGTCAACAAGTGCCTGCTGGACCCCGGCGGGGAGGTGTGGTGCTTAAACTGGTCGTTTGTCCACACAGACTCGGAAGGAAGGGGAGGCAGGGGTGGGGCAAGGGCAGTGTTAGCCCCGCAGAGGGAGTCCTCTTTGCAAACGGGCTATTTATAGCGCTCTCTAACATCGGAGGCGCCTCCCCATCACCTTGCAGAACTCTCCTCTCCCTAGTCCTGCTTCCTGGGGTCCCGGCTCCAAAGCAGTGACCACCACATTCTCACACCATCCCGGCTTCACTGCTGTACCTTGTCGGGCCCTAATGTAAGCATCCCTAGACTGGAAACTTCGAGGGCAAGCATCCTTCTGTTTCCTTCTCCTGGGCATCCCAAGTGGCCAAACTGCAGCCTGGCACAGAGGGGACTCTGGGTAAATACTGGCTGCATTAACTTGCAGGCATGAATGTTTGAAAGAATGCCACTTATTTGGACGGGAGTATATGAGTTTATTCTTCCGGTGAGGATGCCTCAGCAGTCTATAGGAAATGGGCAGAGGTACCTGCATAAATGTTTCTTCCAAGAGATACCCTTTGGGGGAATGAGAAAAAGACCCTGCTTTACGAAATCTTTTATAGCTTTCATTTCTCCAAATAAGCCCTCTTTCTTCTGCTTTCCGTGTGTTTTCACAAACACGAAATACCCCCCACCCCCGAGATCCCTGGGGAGCTGTTCCCCGTCATTAGACCGGTCCTTCCTGCCACATCTCAGGGTTTATTTATGCAAAACTCAAAATGAGTTGCTCAAGAGCCCTCACGGACAAATGCCTGTTTCTCCACTTTTGAATCTTTGTTGCAAAAGTAACTGGCTTCCCGTTCCTGTCTTGTCTCCTTTTCTCCCCCAAGGAACCTGTGAGGCTAAGGATGTCGGAGTCTTCCGAGGCCACTTTCGGGGGCAGGAGAGCCGTCCCCCCCAACACCTCCAATGCAGCCGAGAACGACCCTCCAACTGTGGAGCTGCAGGGTCTGGTGCCCCGGGGCTTCAACCCACAAGGTACGGGCACCTCCCTGGCCCCCAGGGTGCTGGGGCAGCACCCTCCCTCTCCACCGAGCTCCCACCAAAGCCGGCCCCCTGCCAGTCTCTGGTTTTAAAGAAGGGCCTCCAAAACCCTCTCTTGAGTGGTGAAAACACCAAAGGTCAGAACTCATGTCCCAGTTCTGCTACTTCATCACTTTGTAATCTCAAGAGCTTCCCTGGTGCTTCAGTGGTAATGAATCCACCTGTCAATGCAAGGGAGGAGGGTTCGATCCCTGGGCTGGGAAGATCCCCTGGAGAAGGCAACGGCACCCCACTCCAGTATTCTTGCCCGGAGAATCCCATGGACAGAGGAGCCTGGCGGGCGACAGTCCATGGGATCGCAAAAGAGCCAGACACAACGGAGTGACTAAACCATCAGAGCAACAGTGCCAAGGGGGTCACTTCTCCGAAGCCAGGCCGTGAGCCGAGAGGCCTCTTGCTGCCCTACTGCTCTGTTCCTAGAAATGTTCTCCCGCTGGAAGTTTCCACTTCCAAAACCCCGTGGCCGTTTTGATTGTCTGGCTCCCGCCTCCTTCCTACCCTGGGCCATGCGTCCATCGCTGTGCGTTTTGCTGGAGAGAGAGGCTGGGGTCTATGGAAGGGGGATGGGGCCCCAGGAGCAGACGCGGTGACTGCATCCCCTGCCGCCACCTCTGCCCTGTCCAGAGGGACCTTCTCTGGGAGCGGCAGGCCGCGCTGACCCCCTCCCAGCCCTGCATGCTGTCATGGGGCCCAGGCGCCAGCAGTGGCTTCAGCCAGCAGACACGGACACCATTCCCCCGGGGCCTTGGCAGGGACAGTCAGACTCACATCCCTGAGCAGAAACCTGCAGGGAACATGCAGGGCCCCAAACCCGCTTCTGCTCCTGAAGCGGCTCTGTGTTGGTTTCCCCGGGGAGTGAACACCACCTCGTAGGGGAGGTGTCCACAATCACCTTGTGGGGTGTGGTTAACCTCCATGGCCCCAAAGAGACCAGAGGTGGAAAGAGAAGGGCCAGGACAATGCTGGTTATGAACAAACCCAGCAAGTCGGAGAGCAGCTGGGCGTGATGGCAGGTTTGGTCGTGTTAGTATCATGTCCAGATGATGTGATATCCAATTATGAAGATGGAGAAAAACCCCAGGACCACTCCTGGGGCTCCATCCAGACTGGAAGCTTGGGCTCACAGAACTGAAGGGCATCTTCGACTGAGTCCAGGGGCTGCGACAAGGTGTTAACTTGGAGTTCTGAGCCCTATCTCCCTTCCAGGTGCTGCACACTCCAAAACGCCACCGTTAGAGCCACAGAACTGAGTTTAAAAGGACTTGCTAATCAGCTTATCTAAATCGTCAAGTTATAGGTTGGGAGACTGAGACCAAAGCAAGCACTTGATGTTCACACCTTCACTGCTTAGGCTAGGAGCCTTCCTTCCTTCTTTTTAAATGCAGATAAAATTGGAACACATGCAGATGTTAAATTACCAACCAAGTTATCCTGGTGTAAACAAAAAATTATCTTGTTTCAGTTTTCTAGCATAATTCCCCTCTTGCAGATCCAGGACTCGAAGACCCAGGTCCTGTCCAACATCTTCCACTTGCTCACTTTTGGACCATGGGGCACATCATGAAAATAACCAGAACCTCAGTTTCCCCATCAGCAAAATGGAGTAATATCCACTTCACAGTCGTCACGAGGCTCAATGACCAGTGGCTGTGAGAGTCTTGATTAATATGTGCTCACTGATTCAGAAGATGTAGATTATCACACCTCTACAAGATCTGGAACCCACATGTGGGAACCTTGATCTAAGGGTAATGAGTGCAGCCTGCAACCCTCCAATATCTAAAATGCAACAAAATGTTGCCAATAAGAAAACTGCCAGAGAACTTGAGCAGGTAGTTCAATTTTTTAAAAATCTAGACGTACTAATTTCTTGGTTGCTTATTTTTGGAGGCAGGGGTGGGGAGTTATTTTGAACTGACTTATTTGGAAAGATCAGTCATTATTTGCTTGGCAGTCAGATGTGTCCACAGCCCGACTGACATTCTGGGATACTTATGACAGACCCTGGTTTGGGGGGTGTGTCTAGTGAACAGTCAGTCCCTTGAGAAGGAATGACTCATCAGTTCTGGAGTCATTGTAACCTTATTATTAATAGCAGGTTTCTGATTTCATAAACATGTATCCATTTAGTAGTTCTCCTATGGATGAGCTAAGTGCTCCATGCACTGAGGAAGGACCTGTGAGCCCAGGAGGCATAGTCCCAGATGGGAACAGAAAAAAAATACCATCTGATCAGGGAGGGCCATTTCCCAATATCCTTCATATTTCAAAAGTCTGTTTAATTGTACAAAAGTGGGTTTTCTGGGACCAAATATATCAACTTCTCCCCACGTCCCTGCCAAGACCTAGTCATGTGGGTTTAAGTGCCCGCTTCTTGTAGGTTCCTGGCCACAAAGGACTTATATCTGAGGATGACTGCTTCCAGCTGTTGTGCAGTTGCTCAGTCGTGTCCGACTCTTTGTGACCCCATGGACTGCAGCACGCCTGACTTCTCTGTCCTTCACTATCTCCTGGAGTTTGCTCAAACTCATGTCCATTGAGCCGGTGATGCCATCCAACCGTCTCATCTTCTGCTGCCCCCCTCGCCCCCTGCTCTCAATCTTCCCCAGCATCAGAGTCTGCCTCCAGGATAACAAAGTCCTAAGCCAGACTCTCTTCATTGGTTTCACGGGAGTTTTCCAAAGGGTCCCTTCAGCAAGCTGCTCTTGTGAGATGGACTAGAAGGGCAGAGAGGCAAGAGGAGGAAAAGGGGGGAAACGCAAGATTCTCCCCTTTGCGTAGTCTTGTGGCAGTGGATGTAGACAATATATGTTGAGTGTATGTAATACCTTTCATAGGGCTTCCCAGGTAGCTCAGCAGTAAAGAATCCACCTGCCAATGCAGAAGATGCAAGTTCAGTCTTTGGGTCAGGAAGATCCCCTGGAGACGGAAATGACGACCCAATCTAGTATTCTTCCCTGGGAAATCCTGTGGGCAGAGGAGCCTGGCAGGCTACAGTCCATGGGGTCACAAAAAGAGTCAGACATGACTTAGCGACTAAACAGCAACAATGCCTTTAATGCGGAGCTTCAGTGAATATTTGGTTAAGAATGATTTTTGCCTGTGTTTCAAAATGTGCAAACAAACATAAGGTTCCTCCCATCGGGCAGCATGCAATGTAAGAAACATTGAGATGTTCGAGCTGACGGTGGAACCCGAGCCGTGGTGGTGTTTGATGCCCTCCTGAGTTTTTAGGGACCCTTCATGGCTCCCCTTTGAACTCAATTGTAGCTGAGAAAAATATCTGAAAATCCCCTCAGCTTGTTTGGATTTGCATCTATTTCTAATAGGCTGTGCTGCATATGCTTATTTGGTGTTTTTGAAAATCTCTCCACAGCCTTCCTGGTCTCAAAGGTTATTTTAGCAGAAGATGTAATGTTCCAGAAGATAAGCTTGTATTCTTGCTCTGGTTCAACTCTATGTTAGCAACAAGGGGGATCATTTGCAGCAGTAATTATAATTCTCATTTGACAGGTCTAATGCAATTTGAATTCAAACTGGAAAGCAAGCTCAATCTATTAAAAAAAAAAAAAAAGAAAACCAGATGCAGGCAGGATCTAGTATTTTAGGGCTAAAGGGATCTGTGCCTTTCTGATCATCTCCCCCCTCCCTGCTCCTCCCTCCAAGTCAGAACTAAATCAACTAATTGACTAGTAGGTCATCTCTCCTTTGTGCAGAGGAAACCTCTCTGGGTTCAAGAGTTTACTGAAAGAATAAAAAAGACCCTCAGTGTACGATTAAGAGATCCTGCTGTGTAGAACTAGTTCACACTTCTCCTCTTGATTGTGGGAAAAGGTTCAATGATAGTGTCAGGAACTATGCTAAGATCTCTCTGGGGACACAAAAGTGAACAAGTCAACACCTGGCCTCAAGCAACTGTCCCTCTAGTAGTTGAAACCAACAAGTGGGAGGGGTGACCAGTGGTGTCGGTGGACTGGGGAAGAGGACGCCTAAGTTAGGGCTTAGAAGATGAGTAAGAGTGCCCCAGGCAGACGAGTGTATGAAAGGGCATTTCTAGCAGAGAGAACAGTGTATGCTAAGTAGTGAGGACAAGAGAGGGGAGAGGGGCCTGGGAAAGGTAAGCAGGAATCACATCATAACAAGCTTTGAAGACCTTACCTTTCCTCCTCCAGACACAGGGCACTTGCCAAGGATTCTAATTAGCAAGTGACACAATCAGAATTATATTTATTTAAAAAATGCTAATGTTGAGAAAATGGAGAGAAGGAAGCACATTTGGAGGCTGTTGAGATACTTCAGGGCAGAGGAGAAGCAGACCAGAGGGGTTTGGTCCCTGGAGAGAGCGTTAGACTCAGTTTTCTCATTCTAGATTCTGCTGACCATTTCTTACACATTCAGGATACAGGGCATCTTCGCCCCCCACCCCCCAATTTTTTTTTTGGCCATGCCACAAGGCATGTAAGGCATGTAATCCCAACCAGGGATTGAACCCATGTCCCCTACATTGGAAGCATGCAGTCTTAACCACCAGGGAAATCACTCAGAGTACAGGACATTTTAATATTAATAGCCACAGTTAAAAACAATAAGTTGTTTAAGAAAATGTTTTTAATGATTCTAAAGAATGATGGTTTAAAATTCTGGGTATCCAAAAGGAATATGAGAAAGGAAACTTTATCCTGTTGTTTTCACAATAAAGAGACCTACCTCCTCATAGACAGTATTTATACCTATCGTTTGGTAATGATATTATCAGAGATTGCATGGAGAACTCAGTTCACTAGGGAATTCCTAGAATATGAACCTAAACACTTAACTCATTTAAGGGTTCCATCTGTGACAGGTATAATCATTCTCTGAAGAATATTTTTACAAACTAAGGAGAAAATAATCTACTTTTAATCCAATTTTTTCTTATTAGGATAAGGGTAGGA